CGTCCTGGAAATGCATTTTGTCACCCTTTAGCATGACTTTCCTCATTTTTCACACCAATTTTCCCCACTTTTCTGAACTTCCATGTTTGTTTTTCTATACAGCGAGTTTAAGCTATGGATGGCGCCGCATGTGACGTATGTCCGCGTCGTAAGACGCGCGTACGCCATCCATAATTCCTCGAGACGGGACGGCTTCAGGAGGGGAAAACTCCTATGCGCCTGTCTTCATATTTCCGTAGAGTTAGCGGACTATATTTATTGTTGTAGACTACAACTTGAGACTTACAACTGACAACTGGAGTGTTTTTGAATGGTAGATCAAAACTCCTACTCCCCGATCTTCTACTCTCGTCTATTCTCCCTAGAAGTCCGAGTCTACGCTACGTCGAAGTGCGGCACTTCGACGGTTCTTATGAAAAACCGCAGTTCAAGTGCCTCTAGCTGCTAGAGGCCTGCTGCCTGCTAAGGTCTGCTAGAGTCTAGCAGAGGGCCTCTGCCAGAGGCACGTTTCCTCTGGTTGATTTGACCACCATCAAGACTCCCACGCTAAACCTCAACGATTCAGCAACGGTGGCTGAATGGGCACGGTTACAAGAATTGGAATACACCGCAATATTATGGGCGATCACCTCTCAAGTAACGCATCGCGATCAGGACTGACGCAGCACTATGAGGAGCTCTGAGCCACTTTTTTTCGGTCTGAAGTTGACTTTGCTAGCGAAGAGAAAGTCAGCAAAGCCAGCAGCAAAGCCAGGAGGTCCCTTTATCCTCGCCAACGGATACTAGACGTGACGTGACGTTGGGATACAGTCACGTGCATCCCACCGTGAGGATGAGAATACTTTCACGCTCTCGAGATCTCATCGTGAGGGTACAGTATATGCCCGCTCGCTCCACGACTATACCGAGCTCGCCCAGGACGAATTTCCGCTCGAGTAGCGCGACGACTCCGCTGAGACAAAACTGAGCACGTAGCCGAGCATCCACTACCGCGGTTATCTCCGTCGATTAGATTCGTTCGGAGGAAGAAGAAGAGCTCATCGCGATTTCTGGCGACGGGTTCATATTCCTGGAAGACAGCAGGAGGAAGCTAAGTAGCAACGCAACAGTATTTCCAGGACGAGCGAGGCTTACTGTCACGCCCCGAGCGGTAGTCTAATTCCGAGTCGGAATCCCCGACTCATCTAAGATTCTCTTCTTTGCCTGAACTAGCGAGCGTTTCTCACACTGACTCTATACCCAATGTGACGTTGGTAATGCTCAGACTCAATATTTCGCTTACAGCATCGGTTGGGATATTACTTAGCAAATCCGATGGCTAAGAATGCTCTGTATCCCATCATGACACAGACATCATGGAGTGGGCATGTCGAATGGCTTCAGTTATTTCTAACATGAAGACATGTCTCGCCTGCCTCATCGCCCAAGGAGTAGCGGCTCCGCTACACTTGGACATCATCAACAACCGCGTGCCGATTACCCTTGATGGGCACACCGTCAAGCTATACCTCGATTCGGCAATTCCTGAGTGGTTGGTCATGTCGGGTGATGCCTACGAGAGCTCGAACGGTGTGGGAGCGTGCCGCGAGCTCGAAACAGGATGCTACTTCTGTCCCCCAACGCATCCTTGTGATGATGTACTCGAACGCCCTCGGAACACAGTTGAATTTCATGATGGAGATACTATGGAGTACGTTAGCCATACTGGAACACTCTCCATCGGCAATATGACTGACATCGAAGTGAAATTCGATCTAATTATCAATTTCCAGAGTCCGTTGCGGGGAGCACCACCAGCGGGTAACTTAGGCTTGGCTCTAGGTAACAGGGAACATCCTTCCATGTTGGACCAGCTGAAGATGCTTGAAGTTATCGAGGAAGTCTCTGTAGCGATCGAAGCGAGCGAAACGGAGAGTATGTTAAATGGTAGGCTTTTTCTTGGCGGTAGCCCACGGAGCCTGGAAGAACTTTCTCCGGTGAAGTTCACAGCACATCCAAAGTATTGCGAACGTTGCGGCACAGTTGTGAGATCCGAGCTGAGGACAGTCGATCGACGGAGTCAACTCCCTATGGAAGGCTTCACCAGTAACTCTTCGGAGCCTCCCCGCCAGTTCACGCATGTCGTGGTGGATACCGGGTGGAGTGCTTTGGGCCTCACATATGGTGAGTATGAGCTGATTTCAAG